TGCGTGTGCGAGCACGTGTGATTGCAGTAATTCCTGTGTGCTGTATAGGTACTGTATGCTAATCTCCGTTATTACAGTTAACTATGCGGAGTGATATGGGACTGTAATGCGGTCAAGAGAGCTGCCGGGAACTACGTTCGCCGTGCGTTTCCCTGAAAATAATTGCACGCCTCAGAACGTTCATCAGCCAATCAGATTCAAGCATTCAACGGCCCCGTAGTATAACAATAAAATAAATATCCAACCCAAACTGGATATATTTATCGGCGTTTTTCGTGTTTGCAATATCGAGCGATAAATCGACAAATAAACAAGCGACCACGTGACAAACGGACATTTAGCTTTAGCCAAAATGTTTGGTTCGTTCAACATACCTCGTAAAATTGAATTTGATATATCGCGCCTTCAAACAAATAAGCAGAACTTTAAACCACCAGCTCGAGCTGACTGTGTAACAGCGTTCAAATTTCCCCAACCGGAATTTGTCATCTGAGAGAGAAAAACAACTTCCGGTACCTGGAGTATTTGCTTGCTTCCGCTGGGTGGCGCTAGCTTACATGAATATTCATCGGTTTCGGTCAATCCTGCAGGCGAACAGTACAATAAATGCACTATGGTTTTCTCCCAGATTTATTGTTGTTGCATTGTGTGACAGTAGCACAGCAAGTTTCACAAGAATGACTGAAATTGAGCTGTTTAAATGTGTATGATTGCTTGTTCAAATAAATATTTACAAATATATTCTTGTATTATTATTCTGTGTTGTCCATGGCTAAAGTGTTTGTTATTCATCTCATTCATTAAATTTGTTGATAAATATTTTTAACAACTTAAATGTAGTATATGTATGAATGCAGATTTTTTTCAGTGCAAAGATAAGCTTCTGATTCAATCCTTAAAAAAAAAAAAACACGAGCGTCACGCGAGTTTCAAATGTTAAAATCACATGTGAAGCACACACGAAACGTGTGGCTTTGGAACATTTTCATGTGAAAAAAAGTGATCAAGTGGTTACATTTCTTTCAGAAGCATACGTTTCATGTGTGTTTCATGTGTGATTTTAACATGTTAAACTCGTGTGACGCACATTTAACCTCATTCTGTAAGGGGATGTATGATTATATTGAGTATGTTTATTGCCTTTTGCCATTATAGGCAACAGAAGAGGCACTCAACAGAAGGCACACACACTGCAACATGTGAATGAATGTAAGCACAGTCAAATTCACCAACACTCAAAAATCTGTAAGCTTTGTTAGTTCAGATAGCTGGCTTATACATTGTTACATTTAGTCTCTTTCTACAGGATACAAAGTGTGTGCAGTGTTCGTGCACTACCATCAGCTGTTTTTCTTGGTCCTTTGTCTTCGTTTCCCACAAAAAAAAATCCTGCAGAAGTGTTTGTGAAAATTCCAAATGTCCAGAGTCCTGTGGGATTCCTGCAGCATTCCTGTGGGATTCCTGCAGGATTCCTGTGGGATTCCTGTGGGATTCCTGCGGCATTCCTGTGGGATTCCTGCAGGATTCCTGTGAGATTCCTGTAGCATTCCTGTGGGATTCCTGTGGGATTCCTGCGGCATTCCTGTGGGATTCCTGTGGCATTCCTGCGGGATTCCTGTAGCATTCCTGTGAGATTCCTGCGGGATTCCTCTAGCATTCCTGTGGGATTCCTGCAGGAGTCCCACAGGAAAATGATCACGAAAATCCTGTGGGATCCTACAGGACTTGTAGGTGTGCAGGTCCTGCAGAATTTTTCCTTCAGGAATGCCTGCAGGATTTTTTTGTAAGGGCAACGTGGTCTGTATATTATGAAAATCGCGTACAATTATAGGATAATGGTTAAGACCACACAAGAGCTTGGAGTTGATGTTGCATGCTCTTGGAAATAATTTTGATACACAACCTGTTCTTATACAGTCTGTAAACAACCCACATGCCTTCATTACCTGAAGGTCCAGCTGTGTTTCTGTAGCAAGCATTACAATTCCCTCTGACCTGTTAATGTCACCCTTCTCAAGTGAACACAGAACCAAGGCAAGGTTCAACTAAATATAGTGAATTTAAACTAAGTTTGTGCAATAAGTAGTTTTGATAGTAGTTTAGTATGTGCATTTTGTGCTGTAATGACTTCTCCCCTTTCTGACCTTGCACTGGCTCCCTATTGAACATCAAATACATTTTAAAATCTTACTAATTACTTATAAAGCCCTGAACGGTTTAGCTCCTCAGTACTTGAGAGAGCTCATATCGCATTATAGTCCTTCAAATTGGCTGGTGAGTGAAAAAGTTCATTCCAATCCCTGGTTGAGACAATATTCAGATGATAGTGATTAGCTATCTGGCTTTTCTGTGTTCCTAAATCAATCTCAGGTGTGTTCATACGTTTATTTCTAATGCAGTGCTAATCGATATTCACTGTATGTACTAATGCTAAAATCATATATTTTCTGACTCATACCGTGATAAGAAGTTACATCGGATTACAGAAGATTATTTTAAACACTTGACTGGCATTACAATTAGTATGGAGCAAAAACATGAGTTTAATCTCATAAATTGTCCGGTTTTTATGCTGTGCTAAGCTAACATGCTAGCCCTCATGCAACTAGTAGGTGCAATTATGCTTTATGGCTAATTTTGAAAGGTGATCATTGGAATTTTTCTTTTTAAAAACATTAGGTCAGACCAACTAAGTTTATGTGAAGGTTGATCAAGTAGAAATTGCATTTTAAGGTAACATTTGCAGCCATTAACACTATTAATTTGTATTATTTCTGGTGGCCCAGCATTGACTGCTGTGCCTAAACACTGCAAATGTGCTCACATACAAACTGTATTTACAGAAAATGGCATTTCATTATAATGTAAAGGTATAGTTTACTTAACCTCTAGACCTGTTAAGAGAAGTCACCATTACTTGGCTCAAAAAGTGACATGAAGCCCAGTAAAGAGTCAGGTTATGAAATGTAAATTTACTGACAGATTACCTGAATTGGGACTGAAAACCAATCCAGTACAGCTTGTCTTTAACAATAAACATGTACTGTACAAAAACCTTTGCTCTTAGCATAACTACCACGCTCAAATGTTGGATGCTGAGGTTTTATGGCAGAAATGTCAGACTCGACTTCAGTCGAGAGGAAAACTAGATCCTGCTGTGCTGAACCTCTCTCTGTCACAGTGTTGGTCCTAATATTCATTTGTGCTCAGAAGATGAAAGTCCTATGGGTTTGGAATGACATGAGGGCAAGTAAATGGTGACAAAATTACTAACCATTTGAACCAATGAACTAACCATTTAACATGTCAGTGTGGTTATATTATGTTCACTTTTCTGCAAACAGCTACACTTACTGAAAAGTTACTGGAATTTTAGTTTAGAGGTCAGAATTCACACATATTAACTTAATCTTTGAGGGGTTTAGACTAGATGTTAGATATATCAACATCTAAATCCACTGCTAAAGAAAAAAATATATTTAGGTAATTGCACCTTTGGCTTGAAAGTCTTCATATGGTTCCATCCAAATTTAACTTATGCACAAAATACCACTAAGAAAAGTAGGAGACGCCACTGAATATAATAATTTTCATTTATATAATAAATGACTTGCACCTCAGAGCGAGCAGACGAAACACAGTAAATGCAGTCGGAGGTGGATGCTGCTGTTTGGCAACGCAGTCGTGTAAGACAGTTCTGGGAGGCAATTATGCAGAAATACTTTGATGACAGACTTTGACTCAGGCATTGCAGAATGACCAAAACATTTCAGATGCTGTGCAACGAGGTCAGTCCGCAGGTTAGGCAAGTCATGCCATCCCATCATGCTAAGTCACATGACTTTTTATATGCATATGGAAGAATTTATTCGGCAAATGCATTTCCAGCTCCCATTATTCGCGTTAACTCTTTTTCACTAGTTAAAAACCACCTCAAGCAAGCGTAAAACCTTTTTTTTTTTGCAAATTAAGGGATTTTTTTATTTATTTGACATTTCCATCACTCGTTTCTGATGCAATACTTCAAAATGCACATAAAAACAGGGTGATGGAAACATAGTTAGTCACTTAGATAACCTAATCTGTGACAACCCTGAGTGATCTTTAGTCCCAGTCTCCCCTGTTAAATATAATATATATATATATATATATATATAAAAGTCTAGAAATAAAATTACACTGTCTACACTGAAATGAATGTGATGTGAATAGAGCCCATTATGATCAGTGATACTAACACTGGATGACAGATGCACTATTTTCAATAATAGGACAAATGGATTCTTTATCATTTCTTTATTTACAATGGGTGCACATCACAGTACTGTCAGCAACAAGACACCCTGCACACCGTATCAGCAATATAGATCACAATAACCAGTATGTGCTAGATTCTAAAAGGAATGGAAGAATAAATGAAAAAGAAAAAAGAACTGCAGCCAAGTATGTGCAACTCTCTTTAAGGTTTGCCACATCTCTTTATTTCAGTTTATGTAAAGAGCCTTACAGAATTGACACTGACAGTGCATAAACAAAATGAGTTAATAGGAAGACAGTGTACAAAACCAAAAACTGCTTAGAACATACTTACCTAGTAAAAAAAAAAAAAAAAAAAATTTAAATTCAGGGGGC